CCACATAATCCAGATCTAAAAAATTTAAAATGCCATTAAACTTTTATCGATTAATTAAAAATCAGATATTATGATTGTGTAATTATCCACCATGAATTTTTGGCAACTCTGCAGATAGAGAATTAATTAACTCCGAAAAGTTTTTAATGTTAAGTAGTTTACTGGTTAATCTATCTTTAGGATAAATTTGCGGTTTGGTTGATAATGCTGGAATAATCATATCTGCAGACCGGAATGCAGAACTCCAATTTACTACTATATTATGCCATTTTAATAATTCATCGTAGATATCAGATGCAGTTGGGCTATTAGAAGGATTAGCATCCATATATATATTTGCTAATTGTTGAATATAATGTTCGGGAGTGCCTTCAGCAAGTTCAGGACGAAATCAGTTGCATATTCGAATGCCAGCGTTTCATCATACTCAATATTGTAATGAGGTGGTCTTCCTGTAGACATTTCTGCCATAATAATACCAAAACTATAAATATCTGCTGCAATTGTATTTGATCGTGCACTTAACACTTCGGGGAAACGTATGATAAACCGCCGTAAATACCATCTTCTAAACCCGAATCGTCATTCTTTCTAGATAACCTAAATCTGCAATATAAGATCTTAGATCTCCATTAAAAATATTGATGTTACAATTAGGGCTGTTAAACGATCCGGTCCGGACCGACGGTCCTTCGGTCCTTCCAAGGATCAGGTCAGCCCAGTCCTCTTTAGGATGGATCGAGAGGATGGATCGAGAGGACTATCGGCCCTAATAGTAAGTAGGGCGGTTAATCGGTCCATCCGGTCCATCCTGGATAAAAGACTGCCAATCTTTTAAAAAATCGGACTGGACTGCGGTCCAGGACCGAATAGGACTGAATAGAGCTAGATCGGATGAACCGATGATCAACATAATACTTGTTTGCTATAACGATAAAAATAAATTTATCGGTACGTATAAAGAATCTCAACGCATTTACTATAAGCTCTTCAAATTTATAATATTTGCTTATATGATATAATATAAAAAGTGCAATAGTTATTTATTAATTGACATGTAAATTATGGTTTAGAAAATAATATAGTATAGTAATGTAGCAAAATAACTCCTTTGTATTAAGTTCCAACTATGATTAATGACTACGCTTCATTTTATACTAAACTATACTAAACTAGAATTGAGGAGCTCCTATAATTTACTTCGTAAAATATGAATATTATGGTTAAAATTGAGAAAATATTTTGTTACTTTAACTGTTTAACATTGTTTTTAAATCAAACTTGAATTTGCTTTATACTTAATTACCTTATGGATGAATAAAAATTATCTCATATGTACTCATTAAAATCATTAATTGATCACTTAATCGATAATTTAATTAAATAATATAATCATAATTGGGCATACTAAATGTTCAATCTTTGTACTGATTCAAGGCAAGAACTGTATTAATATACGAAAATATTAAAAGTAAATTAACAATACGATTAGATGTTACTTGCATAGTAAAAAAA